TCAGCATAATGACATTTACCAGAAGACCCTTCAGAAGGGGTCGAACGTCCGGTAAGTCGCAGCGAAGTTTATGATACCCTGCAATCAGATGCTCCTGAAATAATGACAACTTAAATGAAGGGTTGAGTGCGGTACCCCTCATAAATGTAATGTAGTCGGATGATTTGGGGATGTTTCCCCCTAGGAAGTTGGCCAGTGAGAAACGCATCCCGTGCTTCTTACACTGGGACTTGAAATTTTATTTGTATTCGGGCAGCTGTAACGGCGTTATCAAGAACAGTTTATAACTTCTAATGTCTTTTGATTGATTCTTTCTCATGTTGATTGCGCTTGGATGTCAGCGATTCACATATACTAGTTCCTCCCTCCAGGACGCAGTTTACACAACCTGGAACAAATTCACTAGAATCAAAGCAGAACCGTTTTCGGGTTCTTGAAATGGCTGATCTGAATTCCGGTAAATACTTTGCATTGAGAACGGATAAGCCACTAACTGACAGTGATTGGTCGATCATACTGACAATTCGGCCGCTAGACCATGATCTCCAAGTCATACTCCATGACTCTGGCACTTCGTACCGGTCTAGTTGGGTAAGAATTCGTTTTCGCTCCCTGGTTGAGAAGAATAAACGAGTTCGTTTGTGATTATATCTGTTGTACCTGTATCTTGACCGTAGGCAGATGTGTATACTGGTAACTTGAGCAACAATGGGTAACACTTTGGCCATATGGAAATACTGGAGACTAAAGCACCAGCCACATGGTAAGATGTACTGTGGCCGTGTTCATGACTTTGGTTTGGTGCACAACCAATTATGATTTGTAACTCAATAAGGCTTTAAAATAAATCGTTTGTCGCCCAGAAACCAGTGTTAGACGCTGACTTTGTGCTGGTGACGATGGCGACGACGATAATATAACTCAAAAATATCACTTATTCGGAGCGACCAGTTCATAAAAAACTTCATTCTTCACCATTTCTGATTCCAGCGATTCAGCTGCGACAGCACAGCACTGATGATTCAGGTTCGGCTACATGCAAATGAGCATTACGTTGGTGACTGGGTAGTCTGATTTACCGAGCTTAGTGCTTACTACTTGGGGCAACGATGTGATACAGGGATATAACTGGTCACGTCATTGACTACGTTTGATAAAAGTGAAGTGACTGACTGACAGTGGTTTCGTTCCTCTGTTTTGTTTAAGAAATGCACGGCTGCTTTTGAAGGTACCATCCGCGTGATTGCTGACTAACGTTGGCTTCAAAGTCCCTCGAAGTACATCATGGGGATCAACAATGACGGACAGATTCTGCCTGGCAGAATGAGTGTCCCATAATAACCAGTTCCTTATGACCAATGCTTGTGTTCATAGAAATATTCATCCCATTGGATGGCCGAAGCTGTGACATCGGTATTTAGTTGGTGCTAGTACCAAGTGCCGATGGTCAAATGTCAAAGGCAAATGGCAGAAGGATTGAGAATCTGTAGGGATATTAGTAGAAGCTAGACTTCTACGTTTCTCCCAGAAAAGTATAAGAGAGCTATTGGAACGACTGAATTTTTCCACCGTTAGCATTCAGGCATGACTCAGAGGACAAAAACGCCCATCAAAATGGTGTGGCTGATGCAATTAACGGCAAAACGTTTGCTCGTTATACAGCAAGGAAGACCACACCCGTAAAACAGAACAAATTCCGCCCCATCCAGAACTTTTGCAGATCGAACGGGAAACTCTGCAAAACAAATCTCACCGGTAAAAGCCAACTGAAACCGCGACATTTCATTCATTAGACCTCCAAATCATCAGCAAAGTCCTAAGGCTTATCCTTGATGCTTTCATCTCTGTAGCTGATGGAACATTGAGCAGATTTGTGTGCTTTTTTGTGTGTACCCCTATGTTTACGAATGTACTGCCCATCGCAACTGCCGATTTTTTATGAGACCTCAATGAGTTTACGGACGGAGGACTTCAAATCAGATCCAAAATGTTATGATTAGACTTGTTTTACCGGTCTCTCAATAGACAGTTTATTAGCACTCCAAAGATGCTGTATTGGGCTCAAGTTGGAGGCTATCGCTAGCTCACTTTAACAGGAGTGAAGCTAAGAGCTGTTCCACTATACACTCCATCCAGTTGAAGATTTACTGTCGGCGCTATATTGCCAGTATTCTAGCCCTTTTACTGCCTAAAACTTATCCTAAAGCAACACAGCAGTATCCACGTGTGTATTGTGTCCACTGCTAATGAGAATGATGACGGTGGATCTAATTCTTTGGTGTTGGTCATACAAAGAGTCCTGGCGGTTTTTCCTTCGCCATCTAAAAAGTCCGTCTTATCGGGGCAACAAATTAACTTCTAAAGTAAATGCTGGTGTTTGTTCGCTGTTTTAATAGTAGGCACTTAAATTGCCCCGCAAGGACGCTCTGTAAGAAGAGTGTAGAACAACCGAAGACAGTCCAAGGAGTGAATGGCTTTCCCGGTGTTTTTTTCAAGCAAAACCTGAATCAGTACCTGAGACTGAGGTCGCCGCAATGCTTACTTGATAACTGGCCTCCCGCTCAAAAGTGACATTCATTCAGACTTCACAAGACCATAAATAGAAAGTTCATTGCTGCCAAGCTTCGCTGCGCTCGTACACGACCTCAAACCTATAAAGTGATGGATAGTGTCTGCAGTATACCTTGCTAGTGCATGCCTGCTAGTATATCCACTATTGTGCTGCTGATCGACTATAAGTTGGTGGAGGAAATGTCCGAAAGCTGACAACACTATCTCCATAAGTACAGCACCATAGGCCACCTGTTTCTATTTAACCCCAAATATATCAGCACCGATGATTCATTTCGCATCATTTACAGTGAATGGTCAAACAACGCAGGAAAAATACAGTCGCGCGATCTACCCGTGGTCCAATCGATCACTATCAAATTGCGTGACCTCACCCCGTAACCACAAAACTCCATGTGCACACGCTGAAAACATTGAGGTCCACTCCATCCGTAGACATACGCATAGACACATCTCCGTGCACAGTCTCACTAAAAACGTACAAACTGCTTTCCCTACAGCCCAAAGCCACTACGCTGGTGACCTTAATCCAGATGTCTGTACTCCTCATTCCATCGGTGAAATTAGTTCGTGTTTGCTTTTTAGCGCATATGCATTGACCTCCACAATGGCATGACCTGAATAAATTGAACAATGTTAGTAAAATGGCAACTGACGAACAAATTGTTTCCTGACTCTCCCACTCAAGATACATCATTAAATTAATTTTTAAAAAATAAGCGGTACTAGTACAACAGCTTTTCGGTTAATTGTGAGAGTGCGGAGTTTTCGCCGCAGATGTACGATGCAAGGATATGTGGATTCGATGATTGGTCAAGCCTGCCATCATGTCACTTCCACAGGATAGACCAGTAGAAACAAGCTTCCTTTCCACCATAATAGTAACCGAGTGGACTGTTTTTAGCCCATTTTTATGGTATCTAAACCGTACGGCCTTCACATGATGAACCATCTGTGTCGAAAAATGGATTTTCCGTCACGCGGTATTTTGACTACCGGGCTTTCTACCTTCGTCACATCCATTACATTTGATAGCAGTATATCGGTTAGGCGGATGTCAGCTATGCCTATGAAAATGATACTCTGATAGACCAAGAAGTATGGGTCAGTGATATACGCTGTTTGCTTTGCGATGTCTCTTCTTGGTTAGCAAAAAAGTTAACCTGGAATACAGAATATTGGTTCCTCTCATTTTTTTGCGGTGTTTGGTGCTTTTAAAATTGAAAAAAGGAGTGGGAATCTTCATCCCTTCAGATTTAGTTCTTCGGTGGAGACGTTTTTTCTCGAGAGCTTTCCTAGGGGGTCTAGTATCCTGTTTCTCCGTGGCCACCCCTTTTCAGTTTTTGCACTTAGTTTCACGTCACTTGCTTGACTTCCTCCTACTGAAAGTTGAGCAAGTAAATGACCACAAATTTGAAGTCCTTAGTTATGCAAGACAAGTTTTGAGATGGCGAATTTCTGTATGGGTGAATTTTGCGATCACGGCTTCCAGCTTACCTAGAAAATACATGATTTAGTTTAGCCTGCCCTGAATGAGTTACAGGGAGATACTCTGCACATACTTTTGATCTTCGCTATTGCAGGTAGTCAGATCGTAATGCAGCCGTCAATTTTTTGGCATAGAACACTCGGCAACACGTACGTTGCCTTACAAAGTTTACATAATCTGTCAGTTTTTGTTATCGAAACATGTAATCTTTACTCTGCTTGTTTCCAATACTTGGAGACTAGAAAAGCGCAGTACCCACCACTATTATCATGAGTAGCAATGAACCAAAAATCGTTACTGGCAGACATTCGGACACAGAGTAATACACTTCTTATTAGTAAAATAAAATGTAGCTACTTTCAGTATGAAGGTCTGTTTTACTACGGATAGGTTAGGAAAACTCTGCATTGGAATGAACAACAGGGAGCGCCTTACCAGTGCAAGACAGCGTTAGCTGGAAAAACTGACCACTGTTTTCACTCCCATGTTCCTTTTTTAACTTTTCCAAATGCGGTACCGAGGTTATAACGGACAGACACCTAGTCATTTATGGATGTGGACTACTCTTCTGAACTCAAGCGGGCTAAGTACATACGGCAGTTTAACAGCTTGAGAGGATCGTCAAGCAGCTCCTTATCCGAAAAGAATGTTGTCCAACAGCTCTCGCTTTCATAACTGATTCCTTCATATTCACTGGTTGAATTCATCATCCCCAAAGAATGCTTTGGTGGGATATAGGTTGATCAGAGTAGAATCGATTCGGTTAATGACACTACCAGAGGAGCCACCAACTGTAAAACCATCGAATACTGTCGTCCATTTTTACAGAAGTCCGTGCATTTGAAACAAACCAGCTCTGATAAGACTGTAAGCTAACGGTTGTTCCAACAAGACGAACCATAAAAAGCTACTTGCTCAAATACGAACAATTCCAACTCACATGACCCGCTACGATCCTCTCATAAATCTGAATGGGTTCGTCTGCAAAGAATGGTGGATGACCTGCAATCATTTCGTACACCAGGACGCCAAACGCCCACCAATCCACCGCCTTTGTATAGCCCTGTAATATAGAGAAATTCAGAGATTTTGTTGGACAAAACCAATTGTAGCGTAGGATATATTCAGGGCATAATAGTTAGCCCAAAAGAGTGAGCTGAATGAAGACTAATAACTGAAAATGGCTTGAAAGAGGCACACAGAGTTGTAGCGCTGAAGCCACCGCAATAACTTTTGAGCTTCGGCGGCCTGATGCCGCACATTAAGTTGCTTAAGAAATTCATAAACGTGAGATTCAGCTGGGTTGCAACTGAGCGCTCCGTCAAAACCAAATTGATGTAGAATTTAGTGTATTTTTCAAAACCTGCCCAACTTGGGTTCAAGGAGAACATAAGGTTGACTCAAACGCGAGAACTGCGCCTACCCGGTGAGAACCAAGAAGGGCAAAACCGGTCGCGTGCTGTTAGAGTTCTCGGCAACCTTATGAATGATGTGTTGCGTCTATACTGTTGTATCCCCAATCCTAATGTACTAATAGACTGTTTAAAGCCACATGAACATATTAACTTTAGTGTCGCTTGATTTGACATCACTCCTTTCGGCGCTTTATGGATCCAACCGAAATAGCCCTTCCGTTAAGTGTTTGTCCATCCTGAGAGCGTCATTTCATTTACGTAGACCATACAGACCGGCTGGTATCGCGCTATTTCTTCGCTGCAATGCTAGCAGGTGTGCAACGGGTTTTGCCCTAGCAGCCTCCTACTGCTCTGTCGGAGGGCCACTTGCAATGGTATTCGGTATAATTTTGTTTTTCGCTCCCCGTTTTGCAGCTGTAAGTGGCAGAATTTTAAAGGTTACTTGTTGGGAGTGTTACAAACCGCTCTGACTAGACATCTTTTGTCGTCCAGTTAAAAAGTGTTGATAATTTCTCTGTTTGTGCAAAGGTGCACAGTTCAGTTCACCGTCATCATCGTCATCATCGTCACCACCACAGGAGTAAGTCAACAGAAAGCACTGCCACTCAACTGCAAGATAATCATAAAACTGATGTCTCACTTAGAAGTTCAAGTGAATGGAGGGTGCCGTATACCGAAAAATCATGATGTCCCTGTGGGAAACAATCAAGAACAAGATACCTACATATCACAGCAGCAGTGACTTAACCTCATCTAGGCGTCCATCAAAGTGAGACGCCATCAGTGGGATCGATGAAGCACTCCTTGCTAGATCCACTGAGGGCAAGCCAACAGACAGTCCAGCTTTAAAGCAGAATCATCATGAATTACATATCAGTCGCAAGAAGGACTAAGCGGAACTAAGCTAAGACGTCGTGAAGACCTGACAACAATTTCTTCACCTTCATTTCACATTGATTTCATCCCTTGTTTTCTGCTAGTATTTCTTTGAAAAGTTTTGAGAGCAGAAAGTAATATCTCTTCTGGGGGTGACAAAGGAATGACCCGCGTAGTACAAGCCAGGACCACCTTAATTTACTGTCCAATAAATTCTGATGCAGTACAAAGGGCTTTAAGCGCCACCTCAACCCCAACATACCACAGCCAGCTAGAATGAGACGTCGTATAAAATATCTAATGTCTTAAGAGCAGTGTTTTACAGTCAAAGAAATACTACAACCATAAGGCTCATTAGCTTCAGAGATGATGTTTCAAAATGATGCAGCCAGCAAGTGCTGCTCGCATGCTGATAAATTCCAGTATCCCATTTACACTGACGGTATTCGCTTAAAAAATGATATCACCCTCATTGTTAACGTTCTATGATGTTTTATCTCTTGTTGCTTTGACTGTTAGAATACCGTTCTAATAAAGTATGAACCAAATGGCTATCTGCAAATCTGAATTGGAAGAAACAAAGCAGACGGAAGTGAAGAATCCCACTGCTTTTTGAAAAGACTTCTTGAAAACCGCACTTTTCGGGTCATAGGGCACGAAGTATATTTACCAATTTCATAGGTGCAATATTTTTCACTAATTCCGTCTCTCCCAAGTTCGCATTTCTGTTTGTCCCGGTATACATGGGAGAAAATCCATTTTGAAATCTAGAAAAGAGTAAGGATTTGTCGGCAATATATACGTACCACTACCTTATCATCCAAACTAAGGAATGGATCGAAGCGACCCCTTTATGAGCTCAGTATCCTGACTGATGCCAACAGTGTTCTGTCTCCCCTGCCAAGATCGACGTATCAGTATTAAAAAGGCTAGCATCCTTGGTGTGACTGATACGTTGCACGAAGCGAACACGTCTCTTTTGGGCGCAGGAAACGGCACCATTTTGTTCAGTTTCCAACGTATGTAGCCCCAGCAAATTAATTTATTTGAGTGTGCTCTCCAACATAAAATTCCCATCATCTGTCTTCGCATAAAAGTTGAGTTCAGTTTGGTGTGGCATTTCTCAGTGGAAGGGAACGCTCTGAGCGGAACTGACAAGAAAAACGCTCGATCGCTGCCCGGGACAACTATGATGTGGAAAATGGAAAATGTTATGATTCCTGAGTTGCGTTTCCAACAACAGAATAGTCGGTTACATCCAATCGGCTGTGCTTTGACCTAAGTCAAAAAATATGTCGCTCCACTCCCCGCTGTACCAAGTGGTTATCCGCTTTTATGACTTGGACGTAATAAACATCCACTCAATAATTGAATGATGTTCGATTTGAAGGAAATGGTTCGAAATGTTGTGGCAATAGGCCAACTTTTTATGCCCACCATTTAGTCTCCGTAGAAACTTTCAGGCAACAAAAATTTTACACTTTGAGTGCACTTAAACTTACTAGTTCTCCGGCTAACCTGTACACATTGTGTTTGAGGTCGCTACCGAATTTTACGCATTTGTCTGAAAATTCATATTTCTGGAGATTTGCGTGAGTACCTAGACCGCAAGAAATCTAGGCTTCTTAAATTGCAATCCCGAGTATCCTGGGATAATATCCATAGGAGCCCCAACGCGAAATCAGGCATTTTGCAAAAACAATAAGAGCTGTTCTTGATATCGTAAAACAGTTGGAATAAAGGTATAAATTAACCATGAGAAAACGAAATTCTGTAAGCTATCCACCAAGGAATTTTTCACTTTCCCCCTTCCCCAAGGTAATGTCACTTCTGATGGACCGATTACCTGAAGTAACTAAGAGGCAGTTAGGTTATATACAGTAACAAAGAGTCACTTACCTTACTCTTGATTATTTCTGGAGCCAGATATTCCGGAGTGCCACATAGTGTGTAAGTTCGATGTTTCACGTGCTTTGCAAAACCGAAGTCTGCTATCTGAAGAAGAAATAGGATGCAGCCAACTTTATTAGTCACCTTTCGTCTATGCTCGGGTTGTCTGAGTGGCCATAGGCTGGACCACGTTATATGGTTTTGAAATAACTTCTCTGTCTCCAAAAAGTAGCCCTTATAAATTCCGTGAAGGTTACGATCACAGCGACAGCAAACATTGTGGCTACATTAAACACCCCAACAGAGTGAAAAACTCGCAAATTACAACAAGGGTTCCATCTGTTACTTCCAACTACAGAACGTCACTTGATTACCATTTATGAGGTCAGTTAATTATCACATTTCAGCCACAGCCCCTCAAACTTAAACACAAGGGACAAGAAGAAAAATAAGTAAAATTAAGACCTTGGTGGAAGCACGCTGAACTTAGCTGTGCGTAGTGACCTGATTAACCAGATTTAAGAGACAATCCTACCACCTCCCACATCTTCGGTCGGTATAGAGTGAAAATCACATACCTACAAAGCGTGACTTGTATAAATCACAATAGAAACTCTACAGGCGGGTTTAGTTAAAAGCACTGCATTTGGATGTCTAGGGAATGTCATTTTTTCCATCTTTTTCGTTAATTTCACGGACAGGGATTTCGCCTCATGGCGTTTGTTATATACAGGTTAGGGGTGTGCTCATCTACTCCTCTAAATACCTCGGCTGAGTGTTGTTCTGTAATGGTGCCTCACTCGGACGCCTCACTTGAAGAATGCATTCTTTAAGCTTTGACTATGGCGCATATGTCCAAAAAGGACATATGCAGTTTTCAAACCAAAGTATCGGCACGTCATACCATTAAGCAGCTATCCTGAACAGCGTTTGGAAGAAAATCTGTTCACATAACTGTTTTAGTGGTCAAAAGCTGAAGTAAGGATAAAATCAGCTCTAAAACTTGCCATGCAGTCAGATGGGGTCAGGACTTTTCTTAATGAGACATTTAAAATCGTTCACCATTTTCAGGAGATACACCTTTTGCATAAAATTATTTTGCTACAATAGCGCTTTACCACAATGCGATCAAACGTTGCGGCAAAGGCAGCCGACTGTTCACACTGAGTGGTTAGTCTCAGAGCACAATTTTGATATCTTGTCTATTCTGTGGTCAGCAAGATTGAAGAACATAATGGCACTGGTCAGTTTACTCAAAAATCCTCGCGACAAACTCGGAGTGTGCTGGAAAAAATACACCTACAATTGCCCGTTCATTCCGAATTGATTCATGATGATTATATAATGGACACTACTCGATAAATCCACCGGTACAAAGCCGTCCCAACACATAGGGACGTGCATGGGTGGTAAATATGACACCTGCAGACTGGAAAATGGGTCCTTAAAGTACAAACAAAAAGACTTGCCACCCAGTTAATAATAAATGGCGATTTCCTTTGGGTAAATAGGGTAACCTGTTTGCTGCCAGGATTTCAATCCAAGCAGTGAAACTTAAGGTAAAAACCGTCGATCCCGGTAAACATGGACAATGGGAAAATAAATCTCCCCAAGTGCCCTAAAACATGTGATACCCTACAATGAAGCAACTTAATGTGTATATAGAAAGATAGTCATGTAAAAGCATGTTAGTGTTATCATATTCTTTCCCCAGTTTCCCTCATATCTCTCCTCTAGTTTGCCAGATATCTCGGAATATTCGTACCCAACGATGGCTCCATGCATTTTGTCTTCCTTCCCTGGCTTGAACTTTCCATTTCGTTTGGCGTCAAAATTCACGTGTAACCCAGCACTTATCTCTGAAATTCATCTTCCAGCGCATTCGACCGGATATTTTGATCGTCACATGGAATGAGGACAAAAACAAGCATTTTTCCGTTTCTACCTGCAATATTTGAATCAGAAATGATAGTTTTTCCCATTCGAAACCGAAGATGAGGTTCTTTGAGAATCTTCGGAAAGAGTACACGAACACGGTGAAAGCCATTGTGAAACTGGCTAGGTACCTGTGACATTGAAAAGTGGCCTCGTGAATTTTCTTTCCAAGTCTCGATGGACAGGGTGCGAGACATCCGTGAAAGCTAAGATGGTTGTGTAAGTCTCTGACAGATTTTGGAACAGGGACGCTGCTGCTAACAATCAATATTGGTTGTCATCTCGACATGAAAATTAATCATCTGGCATAATGACGGTGTCTGTGAGGCAAAGATGTCCCATAACATTCTGCCACCCCCCCCCACTTTAGGTACCGCACGGAGAAGTCTGTTGACTGTTGTAAGCTCTTGCTACATCCCGTAATGTCCGCAACCTTTTTTCACCACCTTCGTCCGATCACTCACTGCCAGTCTCTGGTACCTGTGGAGTTGAAATTTTCCAAGGACATTCTATCAAAGTTGTCAAATCTTCAAACATCACAGGTCTTCTCGGATCTGACTTCGCCGGGACGTGGAAAAATTACCAAACAAACTAAATAGTTCTGCCAAACGGTTTGGTACATTCTTTGCACATGTAAAATGTGAAGTACTGCCATAGGGCTTGATAGACCAAGACGGAACCTTATGCTTACGAACGAGCCGAGAAATTAGCCTAGCTGTGTGGTTGTATTAGTTATTTGATTTAGGTAATGACTGCGCTGCCAATCGGACAAAGACTAAAGGGCATTTCGCAAAACAGCAGTATATGCGCCGAAGATTTGGCGCTACGGTGCTCCTGGCCTATTGATGTGGGCCATAAACCTAGTAGTTGCAAGCAGAGAACGGAAAAACCACCGTTGTCTGGTGGGGACAGCAAATGAATGACTTTGAGGGACGTTGAGTGGTTTTTGGGGAGAATTTACAATCCAGTAAGGATGAGCTGTCCACACGTGTCGCATACTAGTCGAAAGCACTTTCAAACAGTCCGAGAACAAGACTAATTCCTCAGGGACATTGAGAGAGACGGTCCAGCTGCTGTCCCGATGGCGCGGGGAGGCGCCGAATCTATCACCTTTAATGAGTAGCTCGTCCCGATCCCAACAATGGAAAATTCACTCTCACTCCTGGATCCGCACATCAAGCGTATCGGCTACTGCTCCAGTGAGCATCTATCCGCCCCTAGTTTCCCAAGTCATCGGAGATCGAAACTGTGACAACTACAAACACTTTACAGCAGTTGATGATAATGAATCAATCACGCAACTAGCTACAGTGGTTTCTAGTACATGCTAAAGTACATATCTGAGCGGTTGGCGAGGAAGATGCATGGGTCTGTCCCGATTCAACGTTACCACCTTTCGAAAAAGCCTTTGGAACTCTAGAATTATACTGCATCTTTTTTATGTCATTGTTGTTACTCCGCCACGGACAGCCTGCACCGTGTTCTGACGATTTGTGAATAAATCAGCTATACAGGAAACCATCATTGGGACACGCGCACAGCCTCCCCCACTAGGTTGCTCAGTGGATGGAAGTCAGATTAACAGCCTCCTGGCCGTCAAATTTGTGGGTCGAAACATGTGTGATGACATGTCCCACAAAATTTCTACCGCGCTGCTGGTCTGATACCAACAAGTTATTAGCATCAAAGGCTTTGGTTGAGGTCCTTAATGGCGCTTCTACCTAGGCTTGCGCGAGTACACAACCATGAGAGTAATAATACCAATAATTTCATGCTGCGTCAACCGATGGATGGTGTCTTCATCAAGATGGCCTTATTTACTGCAATCAGCAGGGTGAGCTAAAACACGTAGTCACTTACGATTCACTTACTTCCTCAATATTGTCTCTCAACTCACTTCCTGTGCCCCAAAAATTACTAGTGTTGAAAGATGAGTATTATATCCAAAAAACTGACTAATAGCGCGCCACCGTTTTGTGTTTGCTTGTCAGAACTCATACTCTGTTTTCATCGGGGCCATTGGTGTGCAAACTCCGATTCAGACTGGCCAACAAGCTGCTGTGGTGCACTTTCTGGACACTGTATCGATAGACATCTGAAAACCTGAATCGTAGAACAGCAGCCAATATTACGGAAATCTTATCATCCAGGTGCTAACGCCTGTGAATTTCGGGTACTTCTGTATTTACTGTGGAGGGATTACACCAATATTGTTAAAGATCTCAGCTCCTTGGGCGAGAACTCCCGGTATCATTGGTTACACGAAAGTAGCTATGATCAAGCTGTTTGAATGCCGGCTAGCGGAAACAGTATCCGTCATTTGATTCCGGGTTATGCGTAAGGGTAAGCCAACAGAATTAGCTGGCCAGTGAGTGAAAACCATGGAACCTGAGTGACACTACAGCCATCAGCACCCAGTATCCAGGCTTTATTCTAGACTGCTGGCCTTTCTGATCCGCCCACACCCATTCGGGTCATGCAATTTACATGCCTTAGTCCTCTAAGTTCTTCCCGTGAAGACCGATGATACACACTCCTCTTTTGACCGTCGAAAATCATTCTAATCCACAAGGTAGACAGTTTTATCAAACGAGCCTATGCAAAGCGTTAAAAGCCGCATTCTCAGAAGACGCCTATCGTGCGTGAGACGAGGTAAGTGTCTTCACTAGTATGACAGAGAACTTGATAAGTGGGGTTTATGGGGTTCCACCAAGTGAACACTGGATTTCAGATTATCTGTGGTCGATGTGAGATATCGTATCCTATCAAACACTCGGCATAATTTAACCGCACGGGATCCTAGGAGTCTGATCAAGCGTAGTTTTCGCGCAAATTGAGTAATCCGGTAGAATCAAAGTGCGCTAAAAATGAACGAGCTGGAGATTTCCGGAAATCTTATCAGCTAATACACAAAACGGGACGGAAAAGGTGGCTATGAATGAGGTCATCCAGGATAGTATCTAAAATTTACTAGTTTATGAATCGCAAATATGCCATTCTCCCTTGAAGCACCATCCGGCTGCTGATCCGGATGGGCTCCAACCAGCACTGCTCAACAACGGTGTGAGTGAGTGTTGATTAGTTTGCGGATTTTGTTAGTTGGATTGTAGATATTTCATCACCAATTGAGGTAACATCGTCAGAGCGAGGTGGGGTGGGCCGTTTTTGCA